TTATGTGGACGTGGAGTGAGACGTTGAAGTTGTGTTTGGAACCGTGTAGGGTGGCTTCTTTATTTGTTGGCCAAGGGCCATTTATGTATTTGTTGGCCGTGTGCCACTCTTGTAAGGGTTACACCCTTTGTATATGATGTAAGCTTTTGGGCATCTTAATTTGATTTATAACATCTTTGTATGTTTTTGTTACAGAGCATCCCTTTGACTTAAATGTTGTATCTAAGAATGTATAAAATTAGAACAACACATGTACTGTGTGCTTATATTATATACATCTGTATGAGTGTTATTAGTGATCGTCTATCATTGGCTGGTTTACTCATGTGGGTTAGACCTCGTAAAAATCCGGGGCATGAAAAAGTTGAATTCGGCTCTTTTATCTCTCCATTCAGTTGTTAGAGTTATAGTTTGTTTATTTGCTGCAAGAATGGCCTCCGTTATCAATGCTCTATCAAGTACTTCCACATATGTAGGTAATTTCAGTACACCTACAGGTCAAACACATCCAGGTCTAATCCCCATTCAAATTTATGAGCCTTCTTATAATCTATGTTGACCATATGAGGAGCAAATCTGGCCAACTCGGTGAACTTAGCCTCATACTCGGCTACAGACATCTTGCCTTGCTTGAGTTCTTGAAATTCTAACACTTTACGTTCTCTGAAGCATTGAGGGAAATATTTTTCATAAAAGATCACTTTAAACTGGCTCCATATTATAGTCCCACTATTATCTCGGACAAGCATCCACCAACGTCTAACTTCTTCCTTCAACGTATAGATGGCCAAAAGAACTTTCTGAATTTTTGAGCACGGAAACACGTCAAATATCTTTTTAGTTTCTAGCAGCCATGTTTCAACCTTTAATGGCTCAATACCACCTAAAAAGATTGGCAACTTCATTTTGTTGAACTTCGGAGTTAAATTTATAATATCAGTGTTATCCGGCTCAACTTGAATCGGTGGTAGGAGAGGTAAAAGTTGTTGCCTCTGTTGTTGAGTCATTGCTTCAGCCAAAGCTGCAAGCATCTGATCCATGCGGCTCATTCGAGCCTCAAAAGATACAGTTGTATCATGACTTCATGTATTTTTCATTTGCTATAGGTAAACAGAGCACTTATAAATATAGGCAAATAGTTCGTTTCATAATGTTCAGAGTATTCGTTTCCAGTTCATTCGTTTCAATTTCATGTATTCATGTCCAGATTCAATTTTCACGGTTATAAAAACAAATAATCACTCACACATACAGATCGAATGTCCCTAATCTTTTCTAAGACATCTTATAGCTTGTACGAACTCGTGTTTATAGTATAACACGTGCTCTGATACCACTCTGTCACGACCTAAACCCGCCCTTATATGTTTAGCTTTGTAACTGACCAGTAATCCATGAATTACCGAAGGCCTCTGAATCGATCATGACATAATAAGGGATTGAGGAAGGAAATATATAAAAACATGCATAGTCCATTGAGCTGTGTAGACATATATGGGACAAAAATTTGAAAACTTATATACAGAACCGTGACGTCATACGTATAATAGTCTTACATCACATTCATTACAGATAAAGCAAAAAGGGAACTTATCCCATTATATAGATAAACCAAAGGTTGTTCATGTATCAAAAGAAAACAAGGTCTTAAATGATCACAAAACATGGCCACAAGACTTAACTTAATCTGGAACCTCCTTGGGAGGCACCAAAGGGTGGCTGACAAACCAAAACTCCAGGTCATCAACTTTGAGCCTGGTCACGTGCCTGGTCACTTACATACATAATATAAATAGAGTAAAACAAGCCCAGTGAATAATAACGGAATAAAGAATTTAATGAATGATGTCCCATAGCATATTTCAAATCAGAAACAACTTCAGATTCGTATACTTAACAAGAAATGATAGCGGTTATATGTGGTACATCTATTTAGCTATCATATCATATCAAATTTGCATAGTCAGTACCGACGACCATATAGGTCCACATCTTGTGCACAAGTAGCCATGATATTGTTACCCCCCAGGCGAGGGCCACGTGAACGTAAGCCTCGGTATTGTTAGCCTTGGGCAAGGGCCACATAGATATGAGCCACAGTATTGTTACCCCTAGGGAGGGCCACATGCATATTAGCCATGGTATTGTTACCCCCGGGTGAAGGCCACGTGAACTAAGGATGCCACAAATACATTTAAGAAAGATGGACGTTCATTCATGATTCTTAAAATAGCAATTCAGAAAATCGATCATTTCATATCATCAGTAAATAATTAAAGTTCAACATAACTCTACAGAGTTATTACTCACAGATGACTTCAGAGCTGACAAACAAAGCAGGCAAATCAAATCAAATAGCTTACGGTGCGTGACCTACACAAACATAACAGATACATCCTTGAAACATACACCCGGATATAACTTAACTCATCACATTTTGTTCTTAGTGCGTTTCTAAGTCTTATCCTTATTATTATGTCTTAATCTTGGCCTAGGAATGCCTAGGATGCAATGAGGATGCCAAAACATGATGTTCAACAATTAGCCAAACATACTGAAAACAGGGTCCTTGCTCGAACGTAGCTTTCTTCGCTCGAGCGGAGATTCAAAAATGTGAGTGGTCGCTCAAGCGCAACTCCCTTCCCTCAAGCGGTTTGTAAACTCTGCAAAAGTACTGATTATGTAATTTCTTCGCTCGACGGCCGCTCGAGCGTATGACTGAGGTCTTCGCTCGAGCACAACTCTTGTCACTCGAGCGGCCTGCAAAACATGTAAACTTTTGAGAGTGTGCAATTTACGCTTGAGCCAACTTTTGGTCGCTCGAGCGGAGGTGCAAAACACAGAGTGGTCGCTCGAGCGCAGGTTCTGTCACTCAAGCGGAGAGATAGAATCTGATATTTCCAAATTGCTCTTCCAAGTCGAAACTCAAATTCAAAGATAAAAATTATGGTCTTTTGGGCCGAAAACTTGAGAAAACACTTGTAAACATGTAAATGATTGAGAACTAAATATCATTTCATGAAATCAAGGCCTAAAAGCATATCAATTGCTCAAAACAAACTCAAATCTTTGAAAACATAACATGCATAAGATGGTTTGGCTTCAAGGCTTCCACGACATGATCAATTGGTATAAAATGATACAACACAAGATGAATTCTCCAAACAAAGATGGGATAAGTACATGCATGTGAGAATTCTTTGGAATCAAATTCAAAATGCTATGATATATGCATGCATGCATGATACACCCCTATATTCATCTATCTAAGTTTGATTCTTGCATTACACAACTCAATTCCTTGGATTCATATGCTAAGTGACTCGATGTCAAAGTTAAAAGGTTGAATTCTTACCTAAGAATCTTGGGTTCACAAGTGTAAAAGCTTAAATCTCCAACTTCACTTCTATTAGCAATTCACGCCTTTCAAGCTCTTGATCTCAATTCTTTCCTTCTCTCTCTCTCTCTCTCTCTCTCTCTCTCTCTCTCTCTCCACGTTTGAGCTCAAGAATATAAGTGAATGAGAGTGTAAAGTATACAAGAGGTGGTGGGGGTGGCCTTTTATAGGCTTGGTTAGAGTTGGCTGATTAAACTTGAATTAGTCTGTCATTAATTTATTCTAATTATTTCGTTCCGAATCAAATTTTAATTACACCTACCATAATTTTTCAAAAATTCCAAATAACACAAATATTAGGTCAAATTCATGATCGGATGCCAATAAGGCCTTCAATTCCCAAAACAAAACAAAAATACAAACAAATATTTCTACAACAGACAGATATAAACACAATTAATGACATACACATGTAATTAATTCATAATTTCATCTTAATTACTCATCAAGCATAAGCAATCATGGTTCATCAGCTAACCATAAGTCAGGGTTGTTACAAAGGGAATACGGAAGGAGACATCAACTTAACTCCTCAAATAAAATCATAATTTCTCCTTTACTCTAAAAAAGGCATCAACACACCCTAATTGTAATAGAGGCATTCGGATTGTCTAGAGTGATTGTGTGATGTGATCTAGTAGAGTGAATTACTTAGGGCACGACATCTGTCCCACCAAAAAGGTGAAGGGCTGAGACTACTCCTTCACCAAAACGACATCATTTTGGTTAGGGGGAAAAATATATATATATATATATATATATTACAATAATAATAATAATAATAATAATACCTTTTGTTTCAGTCAACACAACTGTGAGAAAGAGAGAGAGGGGCCTGAGGCAAAAAGAAGGCTCCGCACCGCCACTGACAAAGAGTATCATCGCTGGAGAACCACCACTCCTCTTCTCTCCTCCTTTTCCTTCTTTCATTTTTCTTTTTCTTCATCCTCTCTCAAAACCCTAACGCTAGATCTAGGGTTTTCAAAGAGCAGTAGCAATGGGTCATGATCTGGAGGCGACAGTGGATCTAAATCTAGGGTTAGAGTTTTTGGAGAAGAAGAAGAAGAGAATGAAAAAAGAAAGGGGCGACTATTCACCCGAAAGAGAAAAGCGTAGCAGTGGGTGGTAGGCGGTGATGGCAATGACGATAGGTGGTGGGTGGTAATATGGGTTTTTGGTGGTGGCAGATCTAGATCTAGGGTTAGGGTTCAAGAAGAAAAAGATAAGGAAAAGGAGAATGAAGAAGAGGAGGAAAGGAGGGTGATGGTAGTTTTTTTTTCAATTATCAAAAACCGAGTTTTTTTTTTTTTTTTTTTTTTGATAACTGGATGTTCAGGCTAACTTGTGTGTACCTCAACTAATTTTAGGACTCTGATGTTAACAATTGGACAAACTTCTAATGGCCTCTTAAGGTGACTTGAACTCAAGATATTAAATTTTAGTATCAAGTCTTTACCACTCGATCAAATCCTTAAGATTTTTGTTTTTTAATCAAAAACAAAGTTGACACTCATACTATGCTACAGTGACATTGCTACCAACCCATAAGATATTATGTTGAACCAAGAAGTGTAGAGATGGAGGAGTTGATAATGCACAAAAATACAATCATCTCACTTAAATTAGGAGAAAAAATTTCTTCCATACAGGTTAAATGGTAAAACCTCTATAACACTATAGCTAGATGTAAATATGTTTCAAGGACCATCAAAGAAAGTGTTTGTTTTCCAGATATGACTATCACAAACATGTATTTGAATCATTTTATCAAGTTTCAGAGCATAAAGATTTATCTTCTTCTTCTTTTATAGAAATTATCATTATTGCAACTTGATTGATGTTTGGCCTAGCATCTGGTGATGGATTTATACACTTCAATGCTACCTGCAACAAGTTCACCATTCTCTCCTCATTGGCACCTTCCGAAATGAGGGTCTTGTCAAAAACTTCAGCGGTCCACTCTTCTTTGACCACCGAGTGGACCCATCTAGTCAAATCAATCCCGCTATTCTGGACAAGCTTCCCAGTAAGAAGCTCAAGTAGAATCACCCCAAAGCCATAAATGTCTACCTTGAAAGTACTGTATGCGCGAGTTTTAGAAGGATTGTTGTTTTTGAAACTATCGGATTGGGATAGGATTGATTGGTTTTGATGACTTTCCACCACCATTAGTCCATATTCACTGATATATGGATCCATATCTTTGTTGAGCAATATGTTGGAGGATTTTAGATTCCCATGTGCAATTCCATCATCGCGAAGCTCCTCATGCATGAAAGCCAAAGCTTGAGCAATGCTAGCTGCAACATTTATTCTGCTTCCCCAGTCGAATAATTGGCCATTTTGAGATTCTGAAATTAACAATGATGAGTCGAAACATTTAGTATTGTTATTTTCTGTTGTCAACTATGAAGTATAGATACTTCTAAAAGAAAGCCGTATCACTATCATATCTATTTTGGATATTGATCCTCCTCGGGTACTCACAGGTATAGATCCAATACTTGAAATTTATTTCTTTAATTTTGGGAGGTATATATCATATACTTTTCAATACTTTAGATCACGTAATTGAATTATTAGTAGATTGAGAATGTAATAATAATTTTCCATATTTCACTTATTTCATACCCCCTTTTTTCACAACGTATTAAATTGACATATTGTTGATGTGTCATAGAGATGTCTCATATACATTACTACATCCATATTTTATAGCAAGTAAATATAAGTAGGAAAATATATAATGATACTAAAATTGAATTTCAACAATCAGACAAGCAAATAAACTTGTGTACACCATTTTTTTTTTCTCTACGTAACAATTAAATGTTAAAAAAGGGAAAAGTACTACAACAGTTTAGACCTAATATTGAAATTGAAATTTTATTAGACCTACTTTAATAAAAAAAATTATTTAAAAAAAAAAAAAACTGCCTACTAGTACTACCTTTTAAACTAATACCCAATTCCATTTAAATTGTGTATAATACAATACTAAAAGTTATAATTTTATTTTTTCATGAATTTATCTATATCTTTTTATATATTTATTTATTTTTTAAGAATTTTTTATATCATCATATCTCCATCATATATTACTCATACATTCTATTGTACTTCATAGGTTTTCAATGTATATTCTCTATCCCTATTTTCCTTATCTACAATAATGCTTAGGTCGTGGAATCAAATATACTACCAGGCTAACCTTAGGAAGAGAAATAATCAAAAATTAATGAAATTTACCATGAAGAAGCTGGAAGAGGCTCCCATTATGCTGGAATTCATAAACCAAAAGCTTCTCTTGCTTGGAACAGTAATAGGCCACAATCGGCATCACATTCGGATGTTTCACTTGGTCCATCCTCTCCATCCTCTTCTCAAAATCCACCCGTGTCATCCCCCAATCCTTAATCCTTTTCACAGCCAACGTCACCCCTTCATCGACTATAACCTTGTATAGGCTTCCATTCTTCCCTCTCCCAACCAATTCCGCGGGAGATTGGAGCAAATCCTCAAATTTCAACCCATTCATCACTGCGCTGGCAAGTACTACTAGCGAAGACGAACCCTTCCCACTTTCACCTGATGTTATTGAATACTCCGACCTGTTCTTGAACTCACTCGATGTACCACTACTCTTGTCTGTCCTGCTATCTACTACTCCTTTCTTCACATTTGTCTTCTCACCTTTGGGTAAATTTTTCTTGAGAAATTTCACAGCAATAATGACCGCAACAATTAAACCAGCAACAAAAAAGCCCGAGTAGATAAGGAACTCTTTTTTTGAGGATCTTTTTGATTCCTTTTTAGGCGGTGGAGGTGTTAACATTGGACATGGATTTGACAAGGGTTGTCCACATAACTCAAGATTACCCGAAAAACTACTCTCGTTGAAATGACCAACGACATGAGGGATTGGACCGCTGAGATTGTTGTTGGAGACATTGAATTCTTGTAGATTGGAGAAGTCAAATTTTGGGATCTCACCGCTTAAATGATTGTTTTGAGCGAGAAATGAAAGCAAGCCTGAAATTCTGGACATGTCAGGGATCTGATTGGAAAAGTCATTATTCGATATGTCGAGCCTTTTTAGATTACTTAATTGGGAGATATTGGCCGGAAGGTTGCCAGAGAAGCGATTCCCACTTAGATACAAGTGAGTTAAATACCGGCAATTCGATATCTCTTGTTGGATCTCTCCACCAACATTGTTGTCATTCAGGCTCAAGACAGAAAGAGACTTAGCCTTGCATAAAGAGGTTGCATTAAGAACCCCGGTTAGATTGAACCGATCAAGAACTATCTTTCTCACAGACTGTAACTTGCTATCACATGACACGCCATGCCATTTGTCTGTACAAGGGTCTGAACTCATATTCCAACCAAAGCTCGGACCTATTTTCATGGGAGAGAGTTCTCCAATGAGTTGGACTAGCGCGAGCTTCACTTCTTCTTCCTCTGAATTCCCAGTCAGGAAGAGAAGAAAGAACACGAGAGAGACTACATGGATGGGAACGAGTACTCGAGCCATTGTTGTTGATGAAGAAGGAGAAGAATGTTGGGGAGAAATATCAGTGTAATTGGGTTCTGGTTCTTATGAAGGTGTTTGGTTTATTGGCATTGTGGGAGAGGGACTAGGTAACAAGGTTGAAATGTTTAGTTATATTATTTTAGGGTTTGCCAATTGGCTAAATTTACAATGATGGTTTGTTGGTGTATGTGAGTGTGATTGACAAATGATGAGCAAAGAGAGTGACAAAAAAGGCACAAAGAAAACATTTTTAAAAATGAGAAGCCGGCAGGTGGAAATGGTCAAGTTCTGAAATTGTTATAAATTAGTTGGATTGCTTGCGTATATACAGTGGTTTGTGATGTTGCTAGTAACAATGATATACTCATCTTTGTATTCGGTCACTAGTGCACAAATGGTGCTTTCTTAGGGCAGAAGATGCTCCGTACTAGTGCCTAATTCTTATGTCCCTGTCGAAAAAAAAAAAAAGATAAATTATAAATACATCCCTTGACTTTTACTTAAATTACAAATTATTTTCTACGATTTTAGAAATTACATTATGTCCCCTAAGGTTTCTAATTTAATAACAAATAGATCCTTTATAAATAAATCATCAAGTTAATTAATAGTTTTTAACAAATACCCCCAATCTGGCTATCCTCAAAACTGACAAATTGGTTAAATATTTTGACCGATTAAGTTAGAAATACAAAATAGGAAAACACGTAATGATCATATAACTTTAATATTTTTTTTGTTCAAATTCAAACAATTAATTATTCTAAATCTCGACACACAACTTACAAATTAATTGAATGCATTATGTTGTTTAAAATCATATTTCATAAATTAATATACAAACAATCAAATTAAGAAAAAGAAAAATGTGCAATGAAAATTAGGGGTAGGTGTATTCTAATTAGGGATGTAAAAATGATCTGCCTACCTACCTAAGGCCCGGCTTAGCCCAGCCCAACTCTCTGAGCTAGGGCTTGGGCCATGCTTTTTTTGGACTAGTCCAGCCTACTGGCCCAATCAAGACCTGATCTGAGGCTTGACCCAAGGCCCAGTCCATCTGGTCCGCCCGAGGCTCGAGGCCCAAGGCCCAATGTGAATTTTAAACTAAAAAATATTAATAAATAAATAAACAAAATGTTAGGCCCAGCCTCGACCCAAAACCCAATTATCCTCTAGGCTTGGGCCTAGATTTTTTGTGGGAGCCCAAATCGGCCTAGGCTGGGGCAAAACCGATTTTGCACCCCTCATCAAGGCTTGTTATCTTCTTTGGTGGGTCTTACCCCAAGCTCACGATTCAAACCATTCATAATATTAAATCTATCACGAAAATCATCTATGTCAAAAATTAGGTTCATTATATATTAATAACTACATAATTAAATCATATTTATCTTAATAATAGATAGTTTAGTTTTAAATTTATACGTCATATTTTTTTTAATGACAAATGTAATTCAATCATATAATTATTGTTGTCAAAATAATCTAATTTTTACATAAAAAAATATTTGGCGAAATCATACCTAATGAACGGTTTGATAAAACCAAGGTAGGCCCGACCTCAAAAGACAACATGCACACCTCCTAACTTTTGTTATAGGACTGCAAATATTTAATCAATTTGATTTTTTTTATCGATGATCTATTCAACGAATCTTACAATGTGAACAGTTCAAATTATCAAAAAAAAAACTCGAATCGATACTCTACAAAGGAGCACAACAGCCTACTATGCTCAAAGGCATAGCAAGATCCCCAAATCCTACATTTGAAAGTGAGAAAAGTTAGTGGGGCAAAACCGATTTTGCACCCCTCATCAAGGCTTGTTATCTTCTTTGGTGGGTCTTACCCCGAGCTCACGATTCAAACCATTCATAATATTAAATCTATCACGAAAATCATCTATGTCAAAAATTAGGTTCATTATATATTAATAATTACATAATTAAATCATATTTATCTTAATAATAGATAGTTTAGTTTTAAATTTATACGTCATATATTTTTTTAATGACAAATGTAATTCAATCATATAATTATTGTTGTCAAAATAATCTAATTTTTACATAAAAAAATATTTGGCAAAATCATACCTAATGAACGGTTTGATAAAACCAAGGTAGGCCCGACCTCAAAAGACAACGTGCACACCTCCTAACTTTTGTTATAGGATTGCAAATATTCAATCAATTTGATTTTTTTTATCGATGATCTATTCAACGAATCTTACAATGTGAACAGTTCAAATTATCAAAAAAAAACTCGAATCGATACTCTACAAAGGAGCACAACAGCCTACTATGCTCAAAGGCATAGCAAGATCCCCAAATCCTACATTTGAAAGTGAGAAAAGTTAGTATAGCATTACTCATTTGTTCTATCTCCTTTGCCACTGAACGCATAAGCTAGTTTATTGACTCAAAATAATACAAATAAGCTAATCCTTTTTAGCAATATCTAAAAAAATTTGTTTAGTGACTTATTTGGGTCATACCATCTCTCTACTTTTCTATATAGTTTTTCATAATAGGTAAGAAAAAACCAACTTATAAATCATACCCAAACAAAGCACATGGCTAAGGATTTATTCAGCTCTAACAAATTAATTAACATAATATATGAGTTTCATAGACTCGGTTCAAGCAACACTGGCAGCAAAACATTTGAATAGGAAATGATATAGACATTTTTGTATTTGTTTCCACAGCTAGAATAATCTAATGTGCTTTGAATCAGTCTATAATTACAAATCCTTACTCAGAAATCAGCGGAGGCAACAATACCAAACGCAAATGTGATTTTCCATACAACTGTTGCATACCCAAGGCCCAAAATGCATAGAACTAAGGCCTCGTTTTGCTAAGTTGGTTGGGACTAAAAAAGCACAAACGACAAAATAGAAATAAATCAATAAGACAAAATGTCAATCCAAATCATACTTATTTCACTTTTTCTCTCATAAAATTTAAAAAAGTCAAAAAAAAATTGTCAAAATTATTTTACTTTTTCTCTCACAAAATTCAATAAAGTCAATAAAAAATATAGTCAATAAAAAATATACCAAACAACCTTTTTAATCTTAAGCTAAAAAATTTCTAACTCTAAAAAGCCAACTAAATTTTTTTTTTGTCAAATGGCAATTAACTAGGCACTTTGTGATGTATTGGACACTTAACCCCATAGTTCTGACTCTCTGAAATAGGGGTGAGTATGATTTTGGATTGGTTCAGTAAATCATGATCAAACTATTACTTACGATTGCATAAAATTTGGAACCAAACTAAGGACTTGTTTAGGAATAAGTTTTTTTAATAATTTTTTGACTTTTTGATAAAAACATGATGTGAAAAAAATTAATATGTTTTGAATGATTTTTTAATTTTTTTACGAAAAAAGTGCAAAAAGTAGAGAGAAAAAGTGAATCTTTGACTTTTTTTATATAAGTTGTTAACTTTTTTTATTTTTTTAGTGATTTTTTTACTTTTAAACTAAAAAGTGATATTACCTAAACAATGAAAATCTTAAAACCAAATTAAACCGAACAAGTAAACCGTGGTTTAATTCGGTTTGGAACCATGATTTTTAAAAACATTGTCATAATTCATAACATGATCATAAAATACTGTTCACAACTTAAAAGTTATTTATGTAATAATTTAGAATTTGTTGTACTACTATGTAAGAATAAACTTGCAAGAGTAAAAGGTTACAACTTATATATACATATATATATTTGATACTAATAAGATATTTGAGTATTTATGGTAGGTAATAAATTATATATATATAACCAATCCTATTCAACTCCAAATCGGATCCGTAACTATAAAATCATGGATTGAATCGTGAATTACGGTTCACCTATTTTAAAAATTAAGACCAAACTGTACATTGGGAAAACTAAGCCAAATCATGCAGTTTGGTCTGGATCGGACCGGTTTGCGAAATTTTTTTTTTACCCAACCCTAATTTGTTGGTCAAATTACACTGGCGATCCATATATTTTCATTTTTATGTCATTTTGATCTTTATAATTTTAATTAGTTCAATTTTTATTCTAAATTTATAATTTTGTCTTAAGTTGGTCTAATTGATTACAATTGTTAGTGTTTTTCATAAAAAAAAAAAAAAAAAGAGTCCAAGTGCGGACAGGTTCTTGTGGGTGCGGGTTAAACATGCAACCAGCAATCATGTCATTTTCCAAATCACATCCGCCCGTATTGTATCTGTGAAACCGCTCATTTATATGTGGATCGATTTGAATTGGATGGATTGGACGGTTCGAATAGAAGCTGATCGCTAGTTGGGAATTTTTTTTTTAATGAGTAATGGTTCACAAATTAATGCTTTTATAATTTATTTATTTATTGATGTAGCCTTTATGACATTATTGAAGTAGGATTTGTTTCAAATTTTATTTTTTTTTATTATATGAAATAACTGCTAGTAAAATTTGATAATTTATAATATATTTTTACAGTAATTATTAACAACTATTTCTAACATAAAAATGATAAATTTCATGTATGATGTAATTAAATGATGAGTCAATAATTATTTTTCAAGGATTTTTCTAGGATTAGTTGGGTAACTACCAAATCTAAAGTTAAACAATAGAGGAGTGATGGAGACCCCCTCCAATCACCACCCCCACCACCCCACACACACGTGGCGGGTGGTGATTGAAGGACAAGGGAAAAAAAAAACAAAATCCAACCAATGAGAGAGAGAGAGAGAGAGTCAAAGGGGGTGAGAAAAAAAAGGGAGTTTTTGACATTTTTATAAGCAATATTTTAATCATTGGAGTTTGATCTTAGTGTGTCACCATGATTACTAAACACTCTAATTATTCTTTAAACCAATGATACATAACATAGCTTGCATTTGACTGATACCATCATCATAAATAAAAATTTTAAGAAGAATGAAGGATTCAAACTAACATAGAACGTAGTTAAAATAAATAAATTAATTAATTAAAGTGGGACACAAGGCTAAGAGTCTATTTGGTGTAATTTTTACATGTTGAAAGTTAATAATTAAATATATATATACCTCCCAAGGATTTAAGGTCTCCTAGACCGTACGTGTTTAAGGTCTCGCCAGACCATGCGTGTTTAAGGTCTCGGCAGACCGTGCGTGTTTAAGGTGTCGCCAGACCGTGCGTGTTTAAGGT